GAGGAGGATACAGGAGAGGAGGATGCAGGTGAGGAGGATACAGGAGAGGAGGGTGCAGGTGAGGAGAGTGCAGGTGAGGAGGATGCAGGAGATGATGCAGGTGAGGAGGGTGCAGGAGAGGAGGATGCAGGAGAGGAGGATGCAGGAGAGGAGGTTGCAGGAGAGGAGGATGCAGGAGAGGAGGATGCAGGTGAGGTGAATGCTAAAGGGAGACAAGGGAAAGAAAAAATCAGAGAAAAAGCAACAAATAACAGGAAATATTCAGAGGGACTGAAGAGGGGTATCAGAATGTTGAAGAACAGCAAAAATAAGAGGAGAGAAAAAAATAAACAGATAACTATTACCTGAAGAAGCTAATGTAAGTTTCCAACAACTGACTTCAACTAAGGCAGAAGAACGTAACAACTTGGCCAGGACAGGATGTAGGAGCCAAGTCTCCAAAGGAGCACAGCAGTGGCGTGTGCAGTGGTAGCGACTCAGAGAGGAGACTGGTGAGGAGGAGGAGGAGAAGGAATGCATCAAGGGACACATTAACAGTGCGCTAGACAAGCTAGTGGCAGCAAGAAGGGGAAAAACTGGTTCTGAGAGCTCTTCCGGACATAAGATCAATACTGCCTCATTAGCTGGGTGAAGAGAGGCCAACAATCAAGACCCCTCTGTCTCTGGTGGAAGAGGATGGAGTGGGAAAGGAAGGGAGCCATGTCGTCTTCAGGCAGCAGTCTCTATTTATTTACTATTCTTTCTGTTGCTCTCCTCTTCCCCAGGCCCCATGGAAAATACTGAGAGCCGTAAATTAGAAAAAAGGAAAAAGGGAATGTAGCTTGAGACACAAACTTGAGAGGCCCAGGAGACATCTGAGTACCGATATAGGCAGCTGGACGCAAGGATATGAGCCGATGCTGTCAATTACAAGACCCAAACCAGGCGCCCTTGGGACTGGCTCACGGAGGGAAGAGCACAGGTCCAGGACAGGAAATGACAGGGGCCTCACCCTCCTGCTCCCAGGACTAAGGAGCAGGCAGGAGGAAACACGCTTGCAATGAGACCATGGGGAGGGAGCCAGATTGCTTGGAGGGAAAGCAGAGTAGCTGATATAACAGAAGCCAAGGGCACAACTGACTGTGCCTCAGAGGAGGAAGAGGAAATGGTGGGGAGAGAGCAGGGAGAGAAATCCAAATGCCTCTACAGCGGCTATCTGTAACCCCAGTGATGGCGGTTTGATTGACCTGATGGGGGAGGAAGAGCCAACTTCACACGGAGTGACAGCTAGGAAAGGAGGAGGAGATGGGGATGGAAAAGGAGGAGATGGGGATGGAAAAGGAAGAGACGGGGATGGGGATGGGTACCTAAAGCTTTCCTTCTGGGTCTCCGTGTAAAGGGTAAGGGAGGGTGCACGTGATAAGAAGCCAAAGATGAAAGAGGAGTTGTTGGTACTGAAGAGAAAGGAGAAGAAAATGCCACTTACAGGTAGGAAGTGTGAACTCTAGAGCAGTTATGGGGGGTGGCATGGGCCACCATACACAGTTCTGAAGGGAATGACGAGAAAGCGCGGCCATGCTGATGTCTACGAAAGCTTTGACCCAAAGACGGGAGGCTTTTCTGGGGAAGCAGACCATATCCAGATGGGAGTGGCAGAAACAGGGGGGCGGAACAGACAGAGGAGCTAACAGCAGTCCCAGCCCATGGGCTTGGGGACCTTGTTTCTCTCCACAGGACTTGGCACCCTGGAGGCAAATATGAAAAGAAAAAGGAGGGTTTTCTGGTTGGTTTTTTCCGTGTGTGTGGGGACACCTATACACACATGTGCCAGTACAGACACACACGTCTGTGGTCAGCGGACAACCTCCAGTGCCACTCCTTAGGCTCCTTGTACCTCTTATTTGAGACAAGGTCTTCCCATTGCCAGGAACTTCACCAAACAGGCCCAGGTGGTTGGCCAGCAAGGTCCAGGAATCTGCTTGTCTTCGCCTCCCCAGAACTGGCATTATAGGTGTGTGTCGCAGTGCTTGGCTTCCCCCTGGGTTCTGGGGATCTGAACTCAGATTAGCACACTCTCTGGGCATGCACTCTACCCCGGAGCGGAGCCACTTCCCCAGCTCCGGCAGCTGGTTCCCATCAGTATTCAAGTCTCTGTCTAGACAATGGCAAAGAATCTGAAGACAGGGCTTGGCAAACGTCCCATCAAGGGTCAGATGGCAAATACTTTAGGACTTACAGTCCCTGTTACAAGTCCTCAGCCCCGCTGCTGTGATGGAAGAGCCGCCCTAGACAAGGCACACATGATGGCAGCTAGCTGTGTCACGGACAGAATCAGAAGCAGGCGGCGGCTGGACCCCACCTGCTGTGGTTCACCAAGCCCAGACTTAGAAAAAAGAAGTAAAGATATATGAAGGGTCTGAGTTTCAGAGGAATAAATAAGCTCAGACTTTGAAGGATGGAAGAACTAGAGGCCAAAATGAAATTTTAGGACATAAATAAACCAAAACCCAGGTGAGGATTAACACAGTCTATAGAACAAACCTTTGAGCCTATTTCACAAACATCAATGGGATCGTTATCTCCACAGCAGTTTGTGTTCTTATCTTTTTGATGAGGATCTTCCCAGGTCTAAAAAACAAAAAACAAAACAAAACAAAACAACAAAATCAAAAACTGAGGCAGAAATGTAGGTTAACACTCACTGCAGTACATGCTAATCTTCCCACACGATCATGAAGTTGTATAGCCAGCCACGATTCAAAGGAAAAATCATCCGACGTTAGGATGCAGGCTCTGGGCTAACACACCAGTACACGGTACACCCACAGGCATCATAATAATTAAAACAGACTTGCAGCACTTCCTCTGTCTCTAATTTGTCTGTCATCGCATCTGAAAGTGGGTGGTATTTCCAGAATATTCATCTTCCCAGCTTAGTCAGCGGTTAAATTCACATTCACAAATCTCAGAGTTTCACTCTCTCTGTCTACCGACCGTCTCATCTGTGGCTGCTGCCACTCACTGCTCCATCTGACATGGTGGCCGCCTCTCGGCCTTGCTTGTCACGTCTGCAATGAACTTCCTATTGGTTAAGTGTGCCCTACTGCTCGAAACCGCCTTCCCTCCAGAAACAAAGGACAAGACGTGATTTACTCCAGTGAAGAAAAACCTATCTTTGTCTCATTTCCCTCCCTTAAAAACTTCTCTCTCTACCGCTGTCACTAAATTTCAGGATCTCGACAAAAATCACGCAAATAAGTCAACTCTTGGGTCTACTGGGAAGATGATAACCCGTTGGCTACAAAATATATGTTACAGTTTTGGAGATGAATAATGTAATGGGAATTTGCTATCAATTTAAAATCTCTCCTAGGCATCATCTCTTCCCAGAAGCTTCATAACTGCTTGCCTCTGAATCAAACTACAGAAATTGACTAAAATGATTTGTCTTAAATTGACGTTAGAAGGGATGAGAAACTGCAGTCTCAAGATTCAGCCACTGATATCATCCCAGCATTTACATTATCCAAGTTTACTTTCTCTATTTTATGTAGGTAACTAAAAATAAACATTTATAGGCAACCCTAGAAAAACTCCAGTATTTTCCTTCTAGTCTTAATTATAATACATCTACTGATCCATCTTTACTTTAAAAAGAACAAAAACAACAACAAAATATTAGGTCCAGCCAGTATGCCCCAATACTAAAAAACTACAATAACAACCAATATAATTGTTAACCTTACATACCGGCCACAGGTGTCAGATACTCTCCAACACACATACACACACACACACACACACACACACACACACACACACACACACACGCACCTTGTGAGGAATGCATCATTATTCACCCCATAGTGGAAATAAACTGAAACAGTTTACAGTGGTCAAAGCTCACCGGGTTTCTCAGTAACAGAGACAGGGTTATAGACTCCATCATGTGAATCAGAACTCACGATGCTCGCATTTCAGTAACAACAGCAAATTCTGTCTCCCAGCTCCCTTCTTGACACACCTCTCCATGCTCTCAGAATGTCTCTGTGCCTTCCCTGCAGCAGCTCTGTTCTCTCCTAGTCTGCCCATCACTGCTGCTGCTTTCCTACTGCTGAGTACCAGGCATTCGCATCCACTCGCAAGGCTGGATACTGAGTATCCACTCTGGGCCAGGAGTAGCCATGAATAAGGCAGGCTGGGTAACTAAGAGAGTGCTGTGTTAATAAATGGTGTAACATTTGTCTCAATGTGCAGGGGGAACCAACATGGGACCAAACTGAAATCAACAATCTAGACCAGAAATATCTACGAGTTTCTTCTTCCTAAGGCATGAGTTCCTTTTCCATGGAGTTGAACCAGGAGTCACGCTGGCCAAAAGAAGCTACATACCAGTCCTGCCTCAGCCACAATGACTTTGACTAAACATCTAGACTCCAGTTTCTTCAACTACATAAAGAATGACACCAACAAGATAACGTTTGGATACATCCTAGCCCTGGTCCTGATTGTCAGTGTTCATTCACAATCTCCATACATACCACCAGTGAATAGGAAGCTCACAGATTCATGGGATAACTTAGTCTCTATAGAGCAACACTGATTTTAAGGAACTCTTTCCTTATATTGTCATCTTGGTTGTGAGCCGAGCCTATAAGAGCCAAGTCATCTCTACAGCCCTCATCCCTTATATTGAGGAAAAAGTGTCTTCTCATAACATGCACACCATATGGCTTTGGGGAATTTTTCCCTATTTTTTTTAGATTTATGTATTTTGTTTTACACACACACACACACACACACACACACACACACACACCCCACACCCCACATTTGTGCCTGGTCCCCATGGAGGCCAGAAGAGGGCACTGGATCCCTTAGAACTGGAGTTACAGGTGACTGTGAACCAACGTGTGGATGCTGGGAAATGAAGCTGGATCCTCTGCAAGAACAATAGGCTCCTAACCACTGGGCTCTCTCTCCAGCCCCTTGGTGAATTTTTCTGTTTCTTGACTGGCTGACTGAATTCACTCTCACTACTCCACTTTCAATATTATCTACCAATTTACTTTCTAATGTTGAGGAATTAAAAATATAATGAGGGGTTGAGGATTTAGCTCAGTGGTAGAGTGCTTGCCTTTAAAGCCCTGGGTTCGGTCCTCAGCTCCGGGGGTGGGGGTGGCAATGTGTGTGTGTGTGTGTGTGTGTGTGTGTGTGTGTGTGTGTGTGTGTGTGTGTAAAATGAAATATTTTTAAGCCATTCAAAACTGTTACTTGTAGGGCCATTTCTTCATGATTTTCTGTACTAGCAGAAAATAAATAAATAAACAAACAAACAAACCCCAAACACAGACTGGTCCCTTCCCCACTTCTGCCTTTAGTATTTCACATCTTCAGGCTTTATTTGTATTCCAAAGTTGGTACATTAAGTGCATCAAGTTTTAACTTGAAAATCAGGGTAATTTCAACAGGCGAGGACACCTTAACAATGTAAACTTTGAGAATGCCCTCTAGTGGAAGTTTACATGAACAACAGAGCAGAGAAAAGAAAAAGCTCAGACCAGTGATATGTCAAAAGGGGAACATTCCAACTCTTCAACTAAGGAAGAAAAAGGGCAAACAGGACAAAATGGGCTAAAGACACAAACAGGTAATTTGAGGGAAAAATATAGAAGATTTATACATTTAAGAAAAGTTGTTGATCTGAGAACCACAAACTAAAAGTACATTTCAACACTATTTCAAAGAATTTAGAAATGTGATAACCCAAAATAGTAGATAGTCTATAGGTGACCTGGAATCTCTATAATTCTGGTAAGAGTGTAAATTGTTATAACTTCTTATATGACTAATCTGAAAATATTTAATAAAGCAGAATGGGTATATAACTCACAACTTGACTCATAAATGTCTCTCTAGTAAAGTGGTTCTCAACCTTCCTTTAATGCAGTTCTTCATGTTGTGGTGATCCCCAACCATAAAATTATTTTCGTTGCTACTTCATAACCGTGATTTTGCTTACTCTTATGAATCATAACATAAATATCTGCATTTTCCAATGGTCTTAGGTGACCCCTGTGAAAAGGTCACTTGACCCTCAAAGGAGTCGCAACCTATAAGTTGAGAACCACTGATCTGGTAGATAACCTAAAAATAAAAAGTCTTAGCATGGAACCAAGAAAAGCATAATCGATAGCCACAAACAATCTATCAAGGAATGATTATAAATCTATAAATATGAAATCAGAATACATATTGACAAGGCCTAAAACAAATCCTAGCTGTGTACAAGAATTGGAGATCATTACCTTACTGTCTATATCAACCAATATGCTTGTAATCACTGCTCTCTCTGGCCCTTAGGTTTCTGAAAATCATTGAAAACAAAAAGGAACAGCTGCCCACACAGGTGGGACAAGTTGGCAAGTTCTTGCTGATCATCTAGAATTCCTAACTCCAAATTAGAGGGAGTAAGAGCTACTCATCCCAATCTGCATCAAACTGGATCAAACTGGATTGACAGTCTGTTGCCTTTATCACCATAAACTAAAAATCAGTGGCAACAGTCGCATCACAGAGCTAACATTTCTGAGAACTAACTACAGAGCTCCCCTTGGACCACCTCCTTCATTCCAACAGCCTTTCCGGGTTTTATAATTCCAGGAATCAAGATCATATAGATGAATAAACAGGCCTAGAGAGATTTAGTGTCTTGTCTCAAGATCTAAATCTAGCAAATAACACCATCTAATGTTTGTGGTCAATGACGCAAATTTGCAATGAAGTTTAAAATAATAAGCACGTCAATACTGTATTCAGACTGAGGCTGAATTTTAAAGAGAGACTGATTCTTTAATATTATCTAGACAAGTGTTCTGAATATGCACTCAGAGAAAGAGAATACTGAAATGACCTTGTCAAATGTGGGTAAACTTAAATATAAGTGCCGTGGGGGGAGGAAGATGATTTTTATTCACGCCAGAGTCAAAGTGAGAGGAAAAGGTCTAAGATGATGATGTCATATTGATGAGTCACAAGCTCATCAATAAAATTTCTACTTAGTGTTCTGCTGCTTAAATGTCCTTCCAAGCAGTTGGCTTGGTAACTGTTCTCAACAAATTTCTTCCTCAACCAAGACAAAATAGAGGTAAGCACATAAATTTAATATCCTCATGTGCTGGACTGGCTGTTTTGTGTGTAAATCTGATACAAGGTAGAGTCATCAGAGAGAAAGGAGGCTCAGTTGAGGAAATGCCTCCATGAGATGCAGCTGTGAGGCATTTTCTCAATTAGTGATCAATGGGAAAGGGCCCAGCCCACTGTGGGTGGTGGTATCCCTGGGCTGGTAGTCCTGGGTTCTATGAGAAAGCAGGCTGAACCCAGGGCCATGGTGTGGTGTCATCAGGGCCTGGGGTGCTGCAAAGGGCCATGTCTGGGTCCATGGCCCTGCTGCAGCCTCAGTCTGTGGCTTCAGTTACCACTGAAGAGAGTGAGGGCAGAGCTGTACAGTTGGCCCTGCCCCTCACTGGCTGCAGTACTAGGGAGAACTGGCCATGCCCCTCCCAACTGCAGCACTCAGGAGAGCAGACCCTGACCTGATTGGGCAAAGCAGTAAAGCTGTCCCCATT